ACTCCTGGTGCTACAGCTGGCATTTTCTCCATTGGTACACCAGGGGTCCAACGCATAACTGATTGTCCACCGTTATTTGCTATAAACAGATCACTACTTATCGATGGTAGATAATGAATACCCCATGGATAGTCCAATGATGTAGTTACATCGTGAACTCCAGTCCCACCAGCAACAAGAGTTCCATTAGTACCTGAAGTTGAATTTGTTGAAAAACGTAAAATTCGTTGATTATTATAATCACAGACATACAAATATGTCTCTGTTAAATCGAAAGTAAAATATCGTGGTTGATTGAATTGATTTAATGCAGATCCAGCTGATCCGCTTATACCGGCTATAGTTACAGCAATGTTTGTTCCACTACTAAATTTTTGTATTCGATGATTGTTAGTATCAACTACATATATATTTCCAGATTTATCAACATAAACATCATTAGGATTACTTAATTGAGAACTACTCGATCCTGATGACTGATAAGTTCCAGCTATAACTGTTGCATTTATAGCATTCTTCAATAGTTGCCATATAACATAATTACGGTTCTCATCCACAGCATATAAATTATCATGTAAGTCAACAAATACACCAGATGCTGCTATATATGTTGGTGCTCCACTAATTACAGTTGTACCAGTTCTATTCCAAAGGAAACTGCCAGATATACCTAATAATAGATAGAAATGAAAATAATGATTAATTATTCAATATTTTTTATTATAATTCTAAAAGCATTGTATCAATATTGATATATTCAACAGTAAATGAAAAAATATTAGTTATGGCATGAACTAAGATACTGATTCAACTACATAAAGAAACAAACTAAACGATTATTAAGTTTTGATTATAATCATATTTTAAACTCAATCAAACTCATATTTCATGTAACTAAATATATATTTATTTAATACAGGAGTTTTTCGAAATTTATTCTTTCAAAATCGATATGATATGAAATGAATATAAAACAAATATAAAGATATTCCTAAAAGCGTTTGCAATATATATTAGAATTTCCGTTATTTTTGTACAGTTTTTAAGAAATTAATATTTTGAGAATATCATATTCTAGCTGACTAGAACATCTCTTTACTTACATGGATTTACTGTTGTTGTAGTTGTCGTCGTTGTCGTCGTCGTTGTCGTTGTCGTTGTTGTTGTAGTTGTAGTCGTTGTAGTTGTCGTCGTTGTTGTAGTAGTAGTTGTTGTAGTTGTAGTTGTTGTAGTGGTTGTTGTAGTTGTTGTTGTTGTAGTTATTGTGGTTGTTAATTTAGTTGTTGTTGTAGTTGTTGTTGTTTTAGTAGTTGTTTTTGTGGTTGTCCCCGTGGTCGTTCTCGTTGTTGTTTTTGTGGTTGTCTTCGTGGTTGTTCTCGCAGTTGTTTTCGTTGTTGTTTTTGTGGTTGTCGTCGTCGTTGTTGTTGTTGATGACGTTGTCAGTTCTATATGAAATAGGAAGATCGAATGATATTTTATTCTTAATTTACCAGTTCTCTATCGATTAACGATATATCTGACTCTGAATATATTCGTATAGATTTTTTACTTCTTTTTTTGTAGTATATTAATAATTATGTGTCTATTGCAGCAACTGAAACAAATTAGTTAGCAAAGCATGATATCTTTTTAAATCTGATAAATTGACTCAAGTGATATCATTCTATAAAATTTTTAGAGAAAATGATAGCTTTTACAAATAATAAAACTTATGGAATAACAAATAGATTCTTCCAGAAATTTTTATCGTATATATAATTCTCTATAAAATATCTAAGAAAATGAGCCTCTTCTCTTAAGACAACATTCATCTCATTTATCAAAATTTACATAACATGTGGCGAGGGTTAGGAAAGCAGTGTTACGGAAAGATTCACGCTGACGTTCATCTTTCAACCTTATGTACAAACTAATACTATCCCACATTCTCGTCCTTATTTTCAAGAATAGAAATCATAGAAAACATCTCAAATTTAAATTTTACTAACCTGTGGTACACGTGTTACCACTCCATTTATTAGTACATGTACATGTATTAGGAGCTGTACATGTACCACCATTCTGACAATCACTTGAGCATATAGCTGAAAGAAACAATACAAATTATTAAAATCAAGTAAACTTTGAATTGACGTTACCAAGTGTACACGTGTCACCACTCCATCCTGTAGCACATGTACAAGTATTAGAACCTGTGCATTGACCACCATTTTGACAAACGACCGTACACGGCTCTAAAAAAATAAATAAACATACATTAGAATAATTCTTCTCGGTTCTATAATCTCTAAATATAACAAATAACTTGGACAGAACAAGTTCACCGTTGAGGAACATTTTAAAGGATTCAGTTTTGGAAAATTCATCCGTATGACTTCAATGAGTCCGACATTCGTCTCAGTAAACAGAGATAAAACGATGCCATAATTCGATATTGGTAGTTTTGATTTTGATTTCCTACATAAGTGATAAAATAAATAGTCTGCTTACCGACGACAATACCATTAGCATTATTGTCATTATT